TCATAAAGCCTCACTTGTTACAGAAAAGTCCATAATAGTGGTGAAATCCAGTGTTTTCTACGCTTCATCACGAGCATTTCAGAAATCACGGCTCTGCAACACTATTTCATGGAGCACATACATTCTCAACCATCGAAATGCATGAATGCTGCTTGGAACACAACTATCTTCCTAAGAATGCCGTCATGAATGGATGAGTATATAATGGAAACAGGACATGATCTAGGCTAGACTTAAGCACGTCGGCTTGCTAATTATGGTACTAATGCTGCTAAAAAGGAATAAGTCACTAGAAATGAGCAGAATAATGAATACACTGAATTTAAAGGAGAGGGGGTCAGAAGTTATGTAAAAATTACTTGTGCTTGATTAAATGACTTCATGGGAACGTACTTAGATTGAAAGGAAAACGAACTAACGAAATCATCTTGTATTTATCGAAACATGCTCACCTCGAATGTAGGAATTGCTCATGTTTGAAAGGCATACTTAAGGGTAGAAAGGGTGTATTGTCACGTAAAAAAGGAATATGATTTGATTAGTCGGCTCGATTATGCTACTATATTTGCAATCTTTTTATATATTTACCAAGTTCATAAACTCAAGTACATTTAGGATCATGTCAGTAAATTTTGATGGTTCTGGACCAACTTTCCTTTCTGTTTTAAATAATCAGATTTATGACTGATGGTTTTCATCCCCGAACTTTACACGTAGGCACTAAACATATACACACAAGCGATTAGAATGACATGAAAAGGAGATAAAAGAGTATTCTATATCTCATTTAGACTCGATTAACTTTTTTATTGAGTAGGCTTACGAGACTACCAGTAAATCAGATATATGATATGTGTTCACCCTATTTCGGTTAAGATGATAAAGGACTGGCGGTTGAATTTTCCAGAATGATATGAGTGGAGCTGATGTTTCCATTGATTTTGACATAGCCATACTTTCCCAAAAGGTGTTCTCATCCAGGATGGACTGCAGTTTCGACCTCGCCTAGGTCTTATCAACACCCACAGCGGGGGTCGAACCATGAAAGTGCAGAATGTAAGCTCGGCACGTTAGCACTCAGCCACATTGCCACGACTCACACTGGGGGTGTTGATAAGACCTATGCGAGGTACAATCTGCAGTCCCCTCTGGATGAGAACACCTTTTGGGAAAGCATGGCTATGCAAAATTCAATGGAAGCGTCAGCTCGACTCATATCATTGTGGGAAATTCAGCTACCTGTCGTTCATTACCTTAAATGAAATAGGGTGAACACATCTCATTTATCCGATTAATTTTGTTTCTACATGCATACTTAGCATGTAATATCCAATGGCTTCGGGTTAGACTTAGCAGCATCTTTCTATCCCGGGCTAGGCAAACGCCTTAAACACTGTCGCCCGCTAATTCATAATGTTCAACAATTTAAGGAGCCTAAGTGGGTTTGCGGATTGCCTGGCAGTGATGCGTCGGCATTGGTTCTCTTTTTGGTTCTTGATTTCATAGATTCTGTTAGTACCTAGTTAGTAACTATTATCACATTTCCAACTATTTTCGGGAAGCGCTGGTTCAGAACAGATAACGATTATACCCTCCACATTACTTTGAAGAGAAGGCTTCAACTTGCTCTTAAATTATCTGCATCGTGTATCCCAAATGAAGATTGTGGATTAAATTTTGCCTGGGTAGCATTTGAACCAGTGCTGTGCTGATTAAGGGGAAAGCATGTTATCATCTAACCCACGTAACTGGGCCTTCAAAGATACTTTTTAGAAGAACATGTTTGGTTGGATGTGAGCTGTAGGATAGTAGTATCTGAGACCGAGGGATAATAGATGTGAGACTTTTGCAGAAAAACACGAGAAGATTGTCGATTTGAATATGAAAGGTTTCCGTTCACCATGTGAATAATCGTTGAATTTTACCCGTATGATGACTCGAACAATGATGCATCCTATTAGACAACTTTAATCGGAATTCTCTTATCTTTTTAATAGTCCTTTTAAAAATAAAGAGAAGATATTTTCACTGGGTAAAGCGAATAGAGCGATTCTCCTTTCTTCACTGTCTACTTGGAGCAGGACGGTACTGTTTACTCCCTTCAGTTGCTGCGTGGCATCAGCCGATTCGAATAAAGCTCGGATTCTGCCCAGAAGTTTATTTGAATTTCTTAAAATATTATTTCCTGAATGACTTTCTCCCTTGGAATATGGCAAAATAGTAATTAGCTGGGAACACAAATTCCCGTGAAGCTGTTGAAGAATCCTTAGTATGGATACATTGTTGAAATATTGAAACTACGATTTTGATCGCACCATCACAAAATGACATTGTTGAATGGGGTAATTTCCTAAATATTGATCATTCAGGAGAGCCTTAACCTCCTGATGTGGTGTAGTGATATGTTATAAATATTTCCACAAACGATAATAAGCCTCAGTAATAGAATACTACCTGTCTTCAATGCATTTACTACTTACGTTGTGTCTATTCCCTAAAAGTAATATTGATAAAAAAGGCTTTTTTATTTTAAAGAATAGCCTATTATCTTGCCTAAGAAGAGTAGATGCTTCTTTTGCTCTGCCAACCGAAAAATATGGGATAATCCGAGCCATCTTATATCAGGCCGACTTAATACCTTAGTTACCGAGGCTTCAAATCCATGGTGCAAGCTTATGTGCATTACATGCATCCAGCAAAAGCACCTGTCAAAAAGGAGCAGCAGAGCTAGGGTAAATATAAGGAATAACTTATTGAGTGTCAAGAGGGAGGAGGAATTGAAAGGCTTAATCTTAACCAGAGAAGAGCATATATTCTGTCCTACATTTGGCTCATGAGAGGTACTTAGCCTGGCATTAGCTACCGCATGAGGTAACCTGGGAGAAGAGCTTTGTCTTGGAGGAATACTTAAGTTTGATAATGATAAGGCAATGGACAAGAGGCTGCAGTTGCTGTCGCCTAACCTCTTGGTCCGAAAATTACTCTTAGGCCTAAGATCCAAGTCCCCGTTGTCATGTGCGGAGTAGTGTCTACAAGAAAGCTAAATAAAATGAAAAAGTTTTTGAACTTTTCATAAACAACGTTTATTTTTATAATGTAATGCATGCCTAGCAATTTTTTCGAGCAATGTCCATATGCTGGACTTGGATCTAAGGCTTGAGCTGCAACAACACAACCATCATTATTGTCGTTATTCCCATATATGGCTCATGCGCTAACCGATGCTCAGGCCTCTTCTGAAAGGGGAAATTATTTTTGACCCCGACAAACGTTATCTAAGAATACACGGATATACTTTTTCCGGCTCTATACACAAGTGCCTTAGTTCTCTGGTATCATACACCACCATTGAGGAGGTGGAAATATTAAGCCATATATTCAGTCCCACATCTTAGTGATCCAGGGGCATATCAATCTTATGAGGTTATTAATTTTTCGTGAAGAGATTCGAAGGTCGATTCCACCAGAAGACGACGGCGGATTCCTCTTTACCAGCTGTCGGTTGGCTTTACTGGAACTTTCATGCTGACGCGAGTTTTATTAACTCGTTAGCTCGAATATGGTTGTGACGATGATACCTTGATCTGATGATGTTCGTCATATAACGGACGAAAGCTTAGCACCTTTTTACCGGAATCGAAGGAGATTACCTCGTAAGCAGCGTCAGCATGAACGTTTCAGTAAAGCCAATCGACAGCTGATCAAGAGGAATCCGCCGTCGTCTTCTGGTGGAACCGACTTTCGAATCTCTTCACCCAACACTTTTACTGGAAATGGAACAACAATTATGAAACAAGCGATTCCTCACAACGCAACTTTTCTTCACATATATTACTTATTTTTCGTTTGTAAGTGAGGTTTCGAGACTACCAGCAAATCAGATATATTAAATGTGTTCACCTTATTACGTGATGAAGGACTGGCATTTGAATTTTATGGCAATTGTATAAGTAAACCTTATGTTATCTTTGAATTTCACATAGCTTTGATTCCCAAAAGATATTCTCGTCCAGAATGGACTGCAGTTTCGACATCGCCTTGTTCAAGTCCCGCTAGGGGTGCTGATGATACCTAGGCAAGGTCGAAACTATAGTCCAGTCAAGACTGGATGGGAATGCCTTTTGTGAATCAAAGCTATGTGAAATTCAATGGAAATATAAGGTTTACTTATACTATTGTGGAAGAATATAAATACCAGGTTTTTTAGCACATTAAAAGAAATAGTATAAATATATCTCATATATACTTATTTTTTATTGACGAATGAAGTAAGTCTGAGGTTCTCTGGAGATGAGCGATTGGTAAGATACTAGTGGATATCTTTGTATTAATTGAATATAACTAAAACCGGAAGATTTTTCCAGCCATACTTCACATATCATAAGGTGCATTCTTTTCTTCGCTCCTATGAACCCTATTGGTGTGGAAGTGAAACGGCTTAGACTGGTTTTTGTATTGGATTAATTGCGATGCTGCTCACGATAAAGTTTATGGAAACTTGGAATCTAGGGTGATCTACATCTTCGGCTTCGCCTAATTGTCTAATCAACAACCTCAGCGGGATTTGACTGTAGACGGAAGTGTAGAGAAAAATACACTCCTCCATTCACCACAAGCAGAGTCGATAGTGGTCCACCACTGAAACCAAGTTGGTATCCCTCTACAAACTCCCTAACAAGATGGGGGAATTATATATTAATAGGTTTATACCTGATCTTTTCTCAAGACTGGTAGTTACAATATGAGCCATCAAGAGTGATTAACACCTCTGAGGGTATAGTTAAAAATTGCGTTTCTTGAAGATGTTAGTAATAGGTAGGTTTCTCTTCTCAGTTAGACTTGTGTGTGTGTATATATATTAATGGAAATGTATGTGTGTATATCAGTTGATAGCTATTATGTTGGCCGGCTTAGCAGTCCTCTAGCATGAAACACTCTCATTGTACAGTTCCCAGTTATCAAATCCCTTACTTATGCACAGCATATAGCACGTAAGGCTGTCATTGAGCCCAAATGGCGCCCAACTGGATTGGCTTTCTTAGTGCTAGCAAACCCAAGCATGGCAACTGAAAATCAAGCTTTGGAGGAAGGGTTTTAGGGAGGTGTGGTCTAAGGGCTACTAGGCGCAGAACAGAGTGGTGGTGTAGAGCCGTGGTGCGAGGGTCGACATTTGATGAGTGTCTGAACAGGAAAAAGAACTTCTGGATTTAAGTAATTAAGAAGAGAAAGAATGCTTTTAGGCCAAATTATGGGGTTGCTTTTGTCAACAAATACTGGAATCAGATGACAAGAAAGAAAATGAATGTGATGGCCACAAGGCATACACATGTGAATACACAACGAAGGAAGGAGAGAGAAAGAGCAACTAAAACGGTAGACAGTAAGTGGTTCACATGTGCAATTGTTATTTACTTATGTCTCTTTTTACTGAACGGCCATATACTAGATTTTTTGTCGAGACCGTAAAGTGTCTTTTGGGCAAACATTACTTGCAAACCACCCCTATTCCAGGACCCTAACCTCAGTCGCAACCACTATCTATTCCCAATTTGACCCTCATCCTAGCCGGGGAAATGAGATGGTAGACCCACTTCGAACACGAATTTTAAATTGACTTGAGAATTGGCCAAGGGAAGAAAAAGTGTTGTTGGAAGAGCAAAATTGTGAAGGGTCTGAGTGTAAGTTTACATGGAGAAAGCACCTGTGCAGAGAAGAGACGGGATGGGCGCTGGATTAAACAGTGATTGACAATAAGAGGTGGCGTTTCGTTTCGTTCTATCGGACGGCCGGCCAGCAGAGTTAACCTGCACTTTGCAGCTTGCAGAACTGGAAATGGAAGGAGACAAACTAAAGTGGGCAAAAGTGGAAATTCAGGCAAAGAAAGAATAGAGGAAAAGCTCTGTCGTTTGCTGTTTCCATTTCACTTTCGGCATCCTATTTCTATCAAAGATTCGGTTATCTGGAAATTCACATGATCAAGAGAAGAACATAATCTCGATAGTTAACTATGTTCAAGCACAAAAGGTGGCTTCAATTACTAGGGATACTTGGAAAAGTCTTGTATCCATTATTGTGAATATAGTATATAAGCCGAAGCCTTGAGCCACCTGCAATCCAAATGTGATAAAAATTTATGGAACCATATTATTTGAGGGGGGGGGGTACTTTTATTTCCTATGAACGTGCATGAAGAAGAGATTCGTAGGTCGATCTCACCAGAAGAGGACGGCTGAATAACGTTGTACTACAGTCGTTTGGCTTTTATACGACGTTCAGGTTGACGTAGACCACGAGACCTCCTCCCTCGTTTCGGGTGAAAACTGGCTGAGCATTCGTCCATCATACGATGGACATCATCAGAGCTGGTCTTGTCGACTGCGTCAACTTGAAGGTCGTATAAAAGCCAAACGGCTGCAGTACAGCGGGATTCATTCGTCCTCTTCTAGTGAAATTGACCTAAGAATCTCTTCTTCATGCATTTTCATACGAAATGAAAGTCCCCCCAATAATGTTAACTCATGAGGGTCATCAAAACCCGGATTCTCTTCGTATCTTCGTTAATTGACTCAACAAAGACAATAAATAAAGAAATTTTACCCTTTTTATAAATATAAAAGCATTATGTGCCAACCAATAAACGTTGTGGTTCAACATTGAATCTAATCAAAGCAAGCAGTATCACGATATTTGTGGGTTGACACACAAGAGAAAATGACATAGTAAGTCATATACTTGGTATTAGGGACTGGAAACTGGAGCTAGTTGTCTGACAGTAGGTATGCTTTTACCATAGATGTGGTTGATGTAGCAAAGGTGTGACCATGAAACGAATAACGCATCGAGCAGAACAGATGGGGGGGGGTACGGGTCGAGTGAAATACGTGAATCAGGGAGAGAATATACGGATCTTACAGGCCAAGAGAGAGAGACTGTGATAAGACCTAGGGAAGTAGGACTGCGTAACAATATGGCAGACTCGGATCAACATTCCCAACAAAATGGTGAAGGGGGTGAGAAAGCCAGCGTGGAGTGTGAAGGGTTTTCATGAATACCACACTACATAGAAATAAGCACGGTAAAAATAGTAACAGTTAAGGCGCGATAGAAAGATATAAGAAATGTGAATAGCCCAGGGCAGAAGGGGAGATACCACAACTGTTTATCACACGTTTGGTCAAAGGATGGGCTTCACTTGTCTCTTTGACGAGTTGTTGTGTGGTGCTAAGAATGGCGAGAGTCACTGACGATGCCGGCGAAACTGTACCCCGTCCACGTTCCGACTTTAGAAATGATCATGCATACAATGGACTCCGGACTAGGTGCGTTCCTCTAAGTTTTCCTACCAATATGACCAAGTTGCGAAAACAAGGTCAAACGACCTCTAGAAAAGTATCCAGTTTAATCGATATAATGTGCTATTTTTCGAGTAGATAAAAGTTTATATGATACCATTTATTAGACGACAACCCCACAAGCGAGAGGCAGACTGATAGTAAATTTCTTATGTACTCCTCCTTAGGCACTGCTATTTAATACGAAACACGAGTTATGTCAATTCATTGTTGCTAATCTAGCTATTAGCATAAACTTCTAAGAAGAACTTCAGGGAAATTCGGTGACTTTCTTACTTTGGTGGTCGACTCAAGTCCGACGCCACGAAAGCCCACCAAACGCCTACGTCATACAGTCCATCGTCAGGTTTCGTAAACTCTGTAGTAGACAGTAGATGTTGGCCTTAAACCTATTAGTTATTTTGTCACCACGTTGACAACTAAAGTCATTGCTCCAGCTTGAGTCCTCCCATATCACCTCACTGCCCCTTCGCCTTTGGCTGGAATGAATCGGTCTGAGGACAGTTGCTATTTACTCACTAGCGTTAGTCCCTTAACTCCCCTATAATAGATGCATACACACAATCTCGTATAGACTTCTTATAATGTCTTTCTTATGAAAAGAGGCTTAGATAGACGAGTGCAGTTGAAGCTGAATAAAAATTCACAAAATGCTCCTTTTCCTGGTCTCTTCATATCTGTCAGCAGCTAAGTTATTTATTCACTCGTCATTGCACGTAACTCAACAGAGTTGTGCATGTGTTTGGGTATCCTTTTTTTTACTATACAGACGGTATAAAGTTTTCTGCCATGCCAATCAGGTCACAAGTATGTGCTGTTTTAGCGTTGCCACCGCCACTCAGAGTTTGCAAGCTGCATGTAGATCATTTTACTCTTCTTTTTACGGGGTCGTATTATTGAAGCTGTGTCATCACATAAGAGAGTGGTTGTTTGTCGAAAGCGAGCTTAAATGTGAATGCCATCTCGTTTGGGATAGGGGGTAGGAATGGGTAGAAAGAAATTGTAAGCCACAAACCCAGCAACTGGTGCTATTCTTGTATGATGGTGCACAAGAAAGGAGGGTTCTGGTGGGTCGTTCCTCCAGAATTGGACTGCCTTGTATGCCTGCAGTAGCATGAGTAGTCAGACCACTGTTACCTCTACAGGGAGTAAACATAGTTGGCGGATCAAGTCTCACGTGAGTCTGCACACAGTAATGTGAAAATGTTATCTGACAACCCCTTTGTGCTGAGTAGAAGCTATGGCTATACGTAGGACCAGTAATAGTGTGTAAGCCTAGGCGGAAATGTCTATTTGTTAACCGATTCCCAGCTTGAGCAAATATAAGGATACATCAATCTGTTCTGTCTATATAATTGTGAAAATAAAGTTTCCGCATGTCGTGCCTGTTTAACATATTTGAGAAAAGAACTGATGAAATGTCTACCCACAATGATTCGAAAGAAGGACATTACCTCCAATCAGCTTCACTTAAACCTATATCCCAAAAATAGACACTCTTTCAGGACAAATTGATATTCGACTTTAAATGCTGAACACCAAAAGTCCACCATTGGCAGTTTTGTGCTTTTGGGTTAAAAGTTAGAGTGAAATTACTCAAAGCTGTATTCGCCCTATTTTCTTTAAGGTGATGGAAGACTGTTAGATAATTTTAACACAATGATATGAGTACACTCTACGCTTCCATTGAATTTCATATAGACTTGCCTTCCTAAAGGTGTTCTCATCCTGTAATTTTGACATCACCTAGTTTCCATTAGCCCCACAGAGGGACTCGAATCGTAATAGTGCAGCGTAAAATCTCGACATGTTACCCCACACATATCAAAGTAGGAAAATTCAACCACCTGTTCTTTTTCACATTAAACGAAATAGGGTTAACATATCTAATATATAAATCAAGAATCACTGATCGCTTCACATAAGACTGGCCCTTTGAGTTAATCATTTGAGGACTCTTCAGAAATTCCTCTAACTTTCTTTTAAGGTAATTTGGAAAATAGTACCTGAAACTTTGTATTGGGTTTACTGCTTTTCATACTACAATACTATCTACTCCCTCATATCAGGCAGCTACTTATATCGCTGAATATCCTTCATTCCTTGTGAACGTGTGTTGTTGTCAACACAAATAGACAGCAGAAATTCACAAATCTATAAGGTCTGCCTCGACATAAACTACAAACGCATAAAATGCTGTGCTAACAGATCAAGAAAACCCTTTGAGAACAATAAAAGCCAACAGTAGTCCAAACTAAGTTCATGAAGACCACTCGCTTAGTTCGTCAAAGTCGTATCAGTATCAACTTGAGGGGAAATCCCAGAGTCCGAGTAGACATTAAGATAGTTAGAGAAACTTTCATTTTTATAAAAGTACACGAAGAAGATATTCGAAGGTCACTTTCATGAGAAAGTGATGACTGAATCTCGTTGTACTGCAGCCGTTTGAATTTAATACGACGTACAGGTTGACATATTCCACAAGACATCATACCTCGTTTCGGGTGAAAACTGGCTGAGCTTTCGTTCATCATGTGATGGACATCATCAAAGCTGGAACTCATTATTGTAAGAG